CTTGCAAGGCTTGGCACGACCCGACGGGTGATACTAGGTGACTCAGGGTTGTCAGTGACCCCAAGGCATGCGATTAGTAGAGGCTTTATTTACCTACGAATATCGTGGACGTTGTTATATAAGCGAGAGAAAATATTCTTGGGTCCCGTCAAGAAAGGAGGTACAAGGGCAGGATGAAACTGACTTTGAGAGGAAATAGACGGCCGTCGGTAAATTTATCTTATGCTTGAACAGGAGCGCATAGTCCTGTGGCGTTGACACAATCGTGTCCCATATCCAGGCCTATGCAGAGTCAAAATTCAAAAAACCTAGGTCAGGCTCCACACGTCGAGAAAAGGGCGAGTACTGACACTAAGAGCGGCGACATTAATGTGTCTAGTGGACTCGAATTGCTCCGCCAGAGTTGGAGTCAAATACGCAAATGGTGTTTCCGGATTAATGACGCCAGGAGGGAGGGCATGGCTGCCGTTGGTGCTATTGGGCATGATCATGAAGAGCGCTGTAATACCGAAATGATTCGAACACATTCACATTATATATACTCACAACAGCATACGGCACCATCATGTCGACGGCGTATCCCGCGCCTTCGCTTGATGTACGTGCTGGCTGCGTGGGTCCATAAGTTCTCTTGATATTAGAGCCTTGGACGTCTTCGAGTTCCGTTAGAGTTGCTGAGGGTGGCTTTCCTATTGCTTCCGTTCTTGCTCATATGAGAATGACTGCAGGAAGCATGAGAAGGATACCTCCATCGCGTCACAGAAGGCAGACATGTTGAGATATCATGGAAATGTGTATCCTATGCATGTCTGCATCATCTTGATAGACGCCATAGTCATCACCCTCACGCTGTCGACGCTTGAGTAGTGCCTAGGCAGCGCAGGCGCCGAGAGAATGGGGATGCAGGTCTTACACTTATGGGGTATTATAACTCTCCAGTTGATAATCATTTGAGCCAGCCGGCTCCCACTGTCACAGATATCTTCGCGCTATGCGATCTAACGAGGAAGTTCATGAGCTTCCGATGCTGTAGGAAATCTGCATATCATGTTGATGTGCCGGTTTAGGTTGGCAGGTGCCTTCTGCAATCAATGTTGATCATGGATAGCCTCGGGATTTTTGAAAAGAGCCGTGCACGCGGCCAAAACACTGCCTGAGATATCCGAGTTCGAGCCAATTTCTTGTCGCCTTCCTGCTGCACAGCCAGAGTGGGTCCCTGTGTGAGTCGCCGTCGGATGAGCCGAGGTGACCGACACTATCAAAGCAGGTGTGTCCGTGAGTATCAGCATCAGCATAGATCGAAGTGACAGCCAGACTTCCCGTCCGTTATCAATATTTATCATGGACTCGCGGAACGCTTTTCAAGAATCCTCCCCGAGCCGTCTCGACCATCTATGTCCGGCCATACCCGCGAGTCGGTCAGGATCCTTAGCGCATCCCCTGGCATCGAGTTGGATGTCTGGCTCTACAGCCCCATAAGTCCAGCACCATTCCCTGTAGTAGTGGCGGGTCACGGGTACGAGATAATTTGCCCATGTATCAATGCGCATATCGATGTTCACCACCTGCCACAAATAGGCTGAGCCTCGTCAAAGACGCAGGTCTCGCAGCGTTCGGCGAGGAGTGGGCAAGTAGAGCGCACTTCGCCTCCCTGATATTGGATTACCGCCATTTTGGTGAATCCGGCGGAGAACCTCGGAACCTCATCTCGCTGGAGAAGCAACTACAGGATTACCAAAGCGTCATAGACTGGGCAAGGGCACGTCCCGAGAAATTCCGTGTTGACAAGATAGTCGTGATGGGCAGTGCACTGAGCGGTCTTCATGTGGCTGAGCTCCTCCTCCGGGACCAAAGGTTGGCCGGTGGCATGGCGCACTGTCCTGTACTTGACGGTGAGTTGAGACGTACAGTATCCCATCGATACCTACAATTGCAACCCCACGCAGGATACGCGACATCAATAGCAGGCCCAGTGAATGTTCGACTGATGTTCTGGGCTTTTGTCGACTCCGTCAAAGGTAAACTCGGTTTGCACCCCGTGTTCATTGCTGCTGTTGGGCATCCCGGAGATCTCGCATTCCTCTGTGCTCCTAGTTGTTATCTAGGAAAGTTCAGCCATTAGATCGTTCAGGTATCCCGAAACTGACGTACAAGCAGGATTCGAGAATATGTGGGCTCAAGGAAGCACGTCTTTCTATGAGTCGCCGAACTTGGTGGCACCTCGGCTTGTCTTTGATATCTTGTCCTCACGACCTGGCCGGCGCTTAAAGGAGGCTCAAAGTCCCATGCTCGTTGTGATGCCCGAGTCCGATGATATGATCCCTGCTGCAGTTACAAGAGACATCATCGCTAATTCTCACCAAAGTCAGTCGCCCTCCGAGCTGCTCCGGCGAGACACTGACTAGAGGTGCTCCAGAGATCAGAATGGTCGTTAGCCCGGGCAATCATTTCGACGTTATGCGAGGAGGGAAGGCAAGTGTCCAGTCTGGAGCCTTCGGGACGATAGCCTTATGTAAATTTATAGGGCTTTGAAACGAATATTCAAGCTCAGATAGAGTTCCTCCGCGGGCTCGTATAGGGCAGAACTATAGGACAGTACCAACCTTATGTTTTGGACACCTAAGGCACTTGCTACGGGTGTGTCTGGCGACTTTACGACCTATTTTGCTGGGGTTGATCTACTCGGAGCAACAGCTTGACGAGTCGTGCCTTCGCTTGGGTGCTATAGAAAGGCAAATACAGGCGGGATGTACTTTAGGCTTGACCATGGTCCCGGATCAAAGGCCAGTCACAACATGAGAGTGAGCTAGCTCTACGGCTACATCCTGTCACAGAGAACATGAGGGCAGTGATGAAAGAGGAGACGTCATGGAGAACATTGGAAAGTCCATAACTAATGGAGATAACATTGGACGAAGACCTTGTCCAACGTTAAGGCGCTATATCGCGAGTGTGATCCCCAAGCTGACGATATAATCTGAAAGTTGACATCGAGTGCGCGCCACCGGAAAAGACCAGGACAGATGCATGACGTTGCAGAATGCTTTGGCGACGATGAGGAGCCACATCCAGAAGAGACAAGGAAGGACAAATCGCGGGCTCAGTGCTGCGATTGAACACCTCGTAGAACATAAGGGGTTTGACGTGATGTTCCCAGCAGAGCGAACCGATCTAGATGTATCGGACCAGAAGAGAGTTCACTGCAGGTGGAGTAGGCTTGAGTTTCCCAACGGCGACAGTCAGCAGTTGTGGGCAGTGTCTTATAAGTTAGAAGGACGCCTGCCGGGCTCCGGGTAAGATGCATAACCGGTTGCGATAACCCTCAACAACGTCGGCTGCTCCAATTGGTCCTATTTCCTTCGGGTCCAAACGCTTAGCGAGGCATTTCGTGAGTGCTGTCCCCGCCTAGGAGGTTGCTTGTCGTATTGAACAGAATCCGTCAGTTTATTATATCTGTGAGCACAAACCAGGGCCGGGCTTTCATTCTTCCCCGATAAATCAGCGAGACGGATCATATCCACTCGAATCTTGCTCAACTTTATAAAGCAAGTTCGCAAGCGCTTTATCAGTCAGCCAACTGAACAACGTTCACTTACAACACACTTAATCCGGGACATCGTGCCAATACACACTCGTACCACTCATCAGGCCAATGTCCCTCCCGAAGTTATTCCAGCCCAAACAGGTTGGCGAGATCACCGTCCAACATCGGATTGTCCTCGCGCCTTTGACGCGCAACCGAGCGAACAAGGAGCATGTTCACGGCGACCTCGCAGTGGAGTATTACTCTCAGCGTGCGAGCATGCCCGGGACGCTGCTCATCACCGAGGCGACGTATATCGCGCGGAAGGCAGGCGGGTACCCGCACGTCCCGGGCATATGGAGCGAGGAGCAGATTGCTGCGTGGAAG